GGGCCGGCGGGTGAAGCCCACCTGGCTGGGCGGAGGGTTGGAGTGATGGCGGCGCGTGGGAACGCTGATCGGGTTGGAGGCGGTCGCGCCCCCTCCCGGTCCGGAGTTTGACTGAGATTTACTTCGCTGCCGAAACTCCTCGCTGAGTGCCTTCATGGCCTCGAGCAACGTTTCGTGCATGTTTTGGGCCACCACCGAATCGTCCACCTGGCCATTTGGACAAAAGACAAACCGCACATTTATTTTTGGGGGCGTCATCGGATAGACGACGGTTTGAACAATCATATCATGAACCGTTGCCGTCGGGCGGTTCATCATTTTTACGTCACCGTTTTTCATGCATTTTGACAGCTGCGCCGCAACGTGCCGGGCCACAACATCGATGCTAATGGATATTAGCGAATGGCATTAAGCTAGAGGACTTTGCCAAGGCAAATTATTCCCGGCTGGGCAGCAACCTGCCAAGGCAAATTATTCCCGGCTGGGCAGAACGCTGCAAGGGACTTCTTCTTCGGTTCCGTGGAGTACGAAAATACGATCATCTCCGGGTCTCTTGACCATGAGAGAGTGAGAGCAGGCGCTAAGACGACTTCATAGCTCGCACGCGTTTGAAGTGACAAGGCTATGAAACTTTTAAGATGAAGGGGAGCAGAGATGAGGGACTCACCTGCATCCAGAACTCGCCCGGGCCCGTCACAGCAGAGCGGCCGACCTCCACGAAGAAGAAGTTTTCCGAGTGGCCGCAGCGCCGGACGTTCATGAGCTGCAGCACCACGGCCGCCGCGTCCGAGTTGAGCTTGACAAAGTTGATCGTCTTGTCGGTCAGGCAGAGGCGGTAGATGCCCACCAGGTTTTTGGCCTGCCCCAGACCTTTGGGCCAGACTTTCACCTGCCACACCTCTTTGAAGGCCGGCCCGGGGTTTGGGACGCCGTAGTCCCCGGCGGCTCCCTTGTCGGACGGGTTCTTACCTAAAGAGTACGGGCACAAGAAATGCGGGCTGGCTGAGACCCCACCGTGGGAAGCAAACTCAACGCGCTTCCTTTGGTCGGCCGCGCCGCAGCTTTTCAGATTTGCGAGCAGATACGAGTGCAAAGTGAGCGCGCGCCAGCTTGCGCGACCGGCTCCGTACCTGCGGGCTCCACACCTGGGGGTCTCGTTTGTCAGCCGTATACAAACACGAGCGCACATACCGGCGTGGAAAAAGTCGAGCGCCGACAATGATGGGGGTGGGGTAGGGCAGAAGCGGCCTCAGTAAACCAACACCTACTCATGGAATGTCTTCCCAAAACGTCTGTCTGGGAAGCTCTTCAACCCATCGAGGGCAAGGTTCAATTCTGAAGAACATCTGAAGGGGAAGTGAACAGTTGTGCTTCGATTTACCGTATTGGCCCGAATATAAGACGGCGTTTTTTGCATTGAAATAAGACTGAAAAAGTGGGGGTGGTCTTATATTCGGGGTCTAGACGTTATACCCATTCACGACGCTAGATGGCGCCAGATATCATTGAAGCAAATCAGGGCCGTCTTATATTTGGGCCAAATCGGTATATGGAGTGCCCCGTATGACGTTTGACTTCCAGCCCTGATCTAGCCTGTTAGCTTGTTGCGGCTATTTTTGGACGCATAACGAGAGTCTGTCGTTTTCTCAAAAACGTTTTTTTGTTGTTTTTGCACTTCTTAGGACCAAAACTGCGTCAGTCCTTTGCTCCGTTGGTGTTACTGAAAGCTTCTGTGGGAAATTAAAATGAGAAGCAAAGGAGTCTTGTCAAGAGAAAAACAAAACAATTTTCGAGTCTCGAGTAGGAAAACGGATTTTGGGGACACCGATGCAGCTTGTGATATTTGATAGAAAAAATAACCGCTGAATCAACCAATTCATTGAAGAAATTTTTGGGGAGGTCGCTTGACACTTCCAAGAATCAAGAGTTAGCATTTGTTTAACTTTACAAGAGAATAAAATCGGCAAAAATCTTCCTTTTTCATGGGGGGGGGTTCAATGTTGTTTTTCTGCTGTAATGTGTTGATGAATAATACCCCCCCCCCAAAAAAATAAACAAATTGCTGATTTTAAAAGAGCTCTTCTCCCAGCCAATCCCACCGGCCGGCCAATTCATCGGTCGGTCCATAGTGTCGAGCCTACATTGAAATCCATTTTCCACCAAAAACATTTTCATGGCCACGTTCAAACAGTGACGTTCCCAAATCACCCACCGACAACCATTTGCTGACAAAGACGCCTGACAGCAGATGCCACATTAGCCGGCCTTCCGCCACCGCTTCTGCGAATCGGATGTCTGGCTGCGTCAAAAAAAAAAAAAAAAAAAAAAAAAAGAGTTGCGGACCCTTTACCGAGTTCAAAGCCGAGCCCGAATAGACGCCGTCCGTGTGCCAAGTGGAGGCTTGCGGCTTCTTGGCCGCGCGTGTTTCAACACGCACGCACCCTACACACTGACTGTGCTGGATGACTCACTCAAGACCATGCGTGGCTGTTTTGTGCTTCTCGCAGTCTTCCCACATTAAGATTTACAACAGGAAGGAGTTGAGAGTTGGGGGATGAGTTTGTTTTTTTTTCTCCCGCGAGTGCGAGCGAGGGAATGGAGGCTAAATGAGAGAAGGCAGAAGCATATCGGCGACTGTAAAAACTAAACGTGTCGGAACAAAACGACTTCAAATGTGAAGTCGGAGCGTTAATTAGGATTTGGCATGGTTTTCATTTGGAGAGGCCACACACAAAGTGTTTGTTGGGAGAAGGACATGGCCTCAAGCTTTACGCGCACAAAGTCTGAAGTATAGTACTTGAGTGCTGAACAATTCATCAAGTGCCAATCAACATCGCAGTGTCGTCCAATCCGATTTTCAAATTGCAAAAGCAGAAATTTGGACAAAAACAAAACCCCCCGCCCCCCAAACAAATTCTGCCTCATTTTCGTCCGTCCCTCGGTAGGCTTGATTTGATTTGAATTTTTGCACATGTGGCCGGTGGATATCACGAAAACCGGAAGTGAAAAAGCCACAGATGTCTTGGCACACTTGCTAAGTTCCTTTTCCGGAAGGTAACTTGAAATTCATCGCTTGCGTTGGTTGAAAAAGACACAGCAAGAGGAAAAACCAAATGGCATAGTCAATCGCAATCAAAGTACTTGGCAACCTTGCATCCGGAGGCCACTCAGGCTTACAAAAAAAAAGAAAATCAATCAATCAATCTATCAAATCTTCAAAAGCGAAAGCAGAGTTGATCCGTAGCCAGCCACTTTTGGAACTGATCCTCAGTGGAGTCATCCGAATCACGACGTACCTCTGCCTTTGCGTTCTCGGGGGTGGGGAGGGGGCCTTCAAAGACCGCACGCAAGCACTACTTTCATGCGGCCCGCGGCGGGATCACGGTACGGGAAGAAGAAGTCGCCTTGAGCAACAATCTTGGGCCCCATCCGATTTGTGTTCAGAGCTCCTTCAGAGTGTGTTCCGGTATGGAGAGCGCCAGCAAAAAAAAAAACAAAAACAAAACAATGACTTTGTCAGCCATCTCGTTACCTCTGTGTCCCGCGTCCTGGACGCATAATTTTTCCGCTAGACGCATAGTTCCAAATAATGTCCATTTTTTTTGGGACGCAAGGAAATTCTTGAGTCAAAAAAGCAAAAACAAAAAAAAACTACGGTAAAACCTTTTTCCAGCAACGATCGCAATTTGATAATCGCCGTCATTGTTGTTTTGATCTCGCATGGATCACAGTTTGATAATCGCCGCCATTGTTGTTTTGATCTCGCATGAAGTAATCTCACATGACGAGATTGGCGAGATCGGCCGTCACCCCGTGGAAAGCAGACGATTGCCAAGTTGTGTAACGTTAAGACAAGTGTTGCAAACATGTATTGCGAAAGTTCATTGCGGAGATATCACAGAGGAAGCAGCTAAAGTTGGACCGTTTTTTTTTTTTTGCTATAATAATCTATGCCTGAGTGATTTAAGTTTTTGTTGATAAGAACTAAACCTATTATCAATTTATATTGTTGTTGTTTGTGTTATTGTCATATGCAATTGAATAAGTAGACCATTTCAGAATTCGAAATTTGGGACTCACTAAATGCGTAATGAGACTCATACTTTTCTGATCAGCGAGTCCCGCAGGACTCGCAGGGCTCAAATTGTAAAATGAGCACTGCTTTGTGCTTTGTAAAAACATGGGCTGGTGACGCCAGCTAAATTAGCAAGAACCCATCGGAATGGCCCACGTGCCGCTGCCCGCTTCGGCCAGCCGGGGGCAGTAGAGTCCAGACGTCACGGCACGTCTCAGATCCTCGCAGAGGATAAAGAAAAGATGAGTGCCGGTATGAGATTGAATGTTCATCATTGAAATATCTGTTGCTCAAAAAGGTTGTAGACGCGTTTCCGATGATGCGTTCGCATTAGCATGAAGCTAGAGGAACAAAGGCTGAAATAAGCGGCGGTTCTAAACAACCAATGTTGAGCGGAGTCTCGCTGGGGCCGGACAATTCAGCAAAGTAGCGGACGCTTCAAAGACTTTGAATGTTGAGGAAAGGAATACATTGAACCGAAGCAGATAAAAACAAAAAGATAAACAAATGCCGTGCCCTTCATTATCGCCTCACCTTATTGATGTCCAAGGTGCCCCGTTTCAAAACAGAAAAGCGAGCCAAAAGTAAAAACATTGCCACAATTCGCCGAGGAGTCAGGAAGCCGCTCGCAATTCACTTTCCCGCTGACGGCCTTTGTGTTCAGAGCTCCTTCAGAGTGTGTTCCGGTATGGAGAGCGCCAGCAAAAAAAAAAACAAAAACAAAACAATGACTTTGTCAGCCATCTCGTTACCTCTGTGTCCCGCGTCCTGGACGCATAATTTTTCCGCTAGACGCATAGTTCCAAATAATGTCCATTTTTTTTTGGACGCAAGGAAATTTTTCAGTCAAAAAAGCAAAAACAAAAAAAAACTACGGTAAAACCTTTTTCCAGCAACGATCGCAATTTGATAATCGCCGTCATTGTTGTTTTGATCTCGCATGAAGTAATCTCACGTGACGAGATTGGCGAGATCGGCCGTCACCCCGTGGAAAGCAGACGATTGCCAAGTTGTGTAACGTTAAGACAAGTGTTGCAAACATGTATTGCGAAAGTTCATTGCGGAGATATCACAGAGGAAGCAGCTAAAGTTGGACCGTTTTTTTTTTTTTTTGCTATAATAATCTATGCCTGAATGATTTAAGTTTTTGTTGATAAGAACTAAACCTATTATCAATTTATATTGTTGTTGTTTGTGTTATTGTCATATGCAATTGAATAAGTAGACCATTTCAGAATTCGAAATTTGGGACTCACTAAATGCGTAATGAGACTCATACTTTTCTGATCAGCGAGTCCCGCAGGACTCGCAGGGCTCAAATTGTAAAATGAGCACTGCTTTGTGCTTTGTAAAAACATGGGCTGGTGACGCCAGCTAAATTAGCAAGAACCCATCGGAATGGCCCACGTGCCGCTGCCCGCTTCGGCCAGCCGGGGGCAGTAGAGTCCAGACTTCTCAGATCCTCGCAGAGGATAAAGAAAAGATGAGTGCCGGTATGAGATTGAATGTTCATCATTGAAATATCTGTTGCTCAAAAAGGTTGTAGACGCGTTTCCGATGATGCGTTCGCATTAGCATGAAGCTAGAGGAACAAAGGCTGAAATAAGCGGCGGTTCTAAACACCCAATGTTGAGCGGAGTCTCACTGGGGCAGGACAATTCAGCAAAGTAGCGGACGCTTCAAAGACTTTGAATGTTGAGGAAAGGAATACATTGAACCGAAGCAGATAAAAACAAAAAGATAAACAAATGCCGTGCCCTTCATTATCGCCTCACCTTATTGATGTCCAAGGTGCCCCGTTTCAAAACAGAAAAGCGAGCCAAAAGTAAAAACATTGCCACAATTCGCCGAGGAGTCAGGAAGCCGCTCGCAATTCACTTTCCCGTTGACGGCC